TGGACTCCAGAAGATGGTAGAGGACAGGAAAGCCTGGAGGAACGTTGTCCATGGGGTCGCGATGGGTCGGACACGACTTCGCAATTAACAACAACAAAAATGTGTTGTATTATTGGTATTGTTTATATGCGTTGCATTATTTGTATTTGAATAAAATAAAATTTTAAAAAAAATATTAACTGGCAAAAATGGATGGGGTTGTGTGGGGCAACTGCGGACAAGGAAGATAAAGAGAGATATTGATAAGCTGGTCACACCAAAGCTTAGGTATAGAGTAAGACACAAGACGTAGTTAACCAGGTCAGCAGCCACTAATGGATGATGGCAACAGGTGATGGCTATGAGAGGTGCATGGACCAGAAGTGTTTCTGGATGAGTTGAGTTTCTTGATTAATAGACTCCTTTTCTTGTTTGATTCATCATTTTCTCTTTTCTTCCTCCTTGCGTAAGAAGCCAAACGCAGAGATTCTGGGTTTCTCCTCCCAAATGTTCTTTTTTGCCTACTGTTGTTCCGTACGATAGGTCTTCTCCCCAGGAAGTTGAGACAAAGGAGAACTTTATGACTGAAGCCTGTCTTTGATAACCTGATTTCACCATTATTACTTTCACTTTCTCAATCTTCCATCAGCTCTGGCTGGAGTGCAGAACAATTTTGGGGACATGACCAATTATTGTATTTATTTTTTTTTCCCAGCAAGGACAAAACCCTCCAGATGTTATCTAAACTAGGGCTTTCATGTGATCATGGCAGCTTTAATGATCCTGGCCTTGAGCTTTTAATCAGGGGGCAGGTGCTGTACGTTGATTTATATTTATTTATGGAATTCAAGAACCGTGGAAATCTATTAATACGAGCCTTTGGAATTTTGGCAGGGAGCTGGGTTTCTTTTTCAATCAAAATGTATTTGTCATTCCAGCATTATTGGATGTAAATCATTCTTAAATGTTGACCTTTACTGCCATGTTAAGCTACATTGTATTATTCCCGTAGAATAATTCCAATTCAAAAATTGCAATTAATTCCCTTTGTAAGCTAATTAAGAGCCTTGATGCTTCGGATCACCTTACTGAAAGTCAAGTTTTCATTGTCTGAGGAATTTGGCTTGTCTTAAAACTCTGAAATGGCAATAATTTAGTCAAAACTTCTGAGCGCAATGCAACTTCCGAATTAGCTCAGCAAGATAATTAATAACTCCTGTATTAGCACTGAAAAGTATCTGGGATCATTCCAAATCTACAGTATTTTTTTACAAATATCTTAAGAGTATTGCTAAGGTGAATATTGGTCATTTCCACGCATTTTTGAATAAGAGTTGGAAAGCCCCATACGAACAAGTCTTAAGGAGCATTAAATATACCTTTTATGAATTTGAGATGAGATTAATTCCACATAAGCATACTTGTTTGCCTTGAAATGAGAGATGGCAAGCATATAAACTTAATAAATAAGTAAGTAAGTAAGTAAGTACTGAGAATTGCCTCAAACTGCGGGATGGGTGGCATACAAATTAATAAACAAATAATAGAAATATTGGAGAATGATGGTGGACACAAACATAAAACAATGAAAGGGACACTTATCCATGGGATCTGGGCTTGCTTATCGCAGTCCTCATTTGGTTGAATATACATATATTTATTCACGTGGTTTGGGAAATGAGAGGAATAACAGGAGGTTGAATTATATATATTTACATTATTTGTGTTTGTATATAATTAGATAGCTTTTGTCCCTTTTTTTCCTTTTTTTTAGTTTTTCTCTTTATTTGCATTGGCCATTATTTCTGCTTAATGTCTGCCTATTTTAAAACAACTAAGAATCTTTTGAAAAGGACACCCGTTCTAACTCTTTCAGGTCAGATTAGGGTGGGGGGGGGAAGAAGTGATCAGGACAAACATCCGGTCACCTTATTTTTAATTCAGGGATGAATTAAGTACACGTGATGATTATTTAGTTTTTAAGAACGTTTTTCTCTTTCTGTGACTTTAAAAATGACACCTCAGTCACAAATGGGGAAGTGCCCCCCCTCCCCGCGAGTCACTTTGCTTCCAAGCTGTTCAGGTTTTTTTAAGTACCTGGGATTGAAAACAGCCACCACCAATGCGCCGCGATGGTGGTGATACAAACTATTCACAAAATTGAGATTTAAGGTGTGTCCGCATCTCTCGATCACTCAGACTTTTTCTAAGAATTCTGAACCACTTGCGTTGTCTGTATTTCTCACAAAGCAGGAAATGCCTCCTGCTGCAACAGATGACCTCATAAATGCCATCGAGCAGAAGTCAGGAGAAAAGCCCCAGATTGACAGCTGTCTACTCTAGGAGATGTTGAAAATCTGTCCTCAAAAGAAAGAGCAGCCACAGAAGAAAAAAATTGTCAGTGGCCTCGTATTGGCATCGAGAGCTGACCGGGTAAGAAGCTACTTTATTTGATTAGCCGAATGGAGAAAACGTAATGAATTTAAATTTTTTGCTTTTTCTTTCTCAGCTTGGCCTTAGTGTGTGTGTGTGTGTGTGTGTGTGTGTATCAAACAATAAAACAATCACAATCACCAGGAAAATTCAAAGTAGAAAAGTTTTAATAAATACCCAGCATCTAGTGGGGGATAGTACAACCATAGTACTATGGTTGTACTATCCCTCACTAGATGCTGGGTGTTTATTAAAACTTTTCTACTTTGAATTTTCCTGGTGATCGTGATTGTTTTATTGTTTGACATGGATATACCCAGGAATCGCATTTTTACTGACATTATTAACCATATATGTATGTATGTATGTATGTATGTATGTATGTATGTATGTATATATTCTTTCTCAGCTTGGCCTTAGTGTGTGTGTATGTGTGTGTATGTGTGTATGTATGTGTATGTGTGTGTGTGTGTATATATATATATATATATATATATATATATATATATATATATATATTCAAATTTCTTTTTCTCACAAAGAGTTAAAGAATTAAATTGGGAGAGGGGAGGAGAGCCTGTGGCTTGGTGGTTAAATCACTGCCTAGTATGTAAACTGCCCAGGTTCGAATCCCATAAAGGGTATGGCTAACTGATGAAAGCAGAACGAGCTAGAAATGGCCATCTTAGTCTCCTGATTTAATTCTTTAACTCTTTGTCAGAAAAAGAAATTTGGATTTAAAATGTTTCGCAGTTGTGACTTGAGCCCCTATAATTACTCCCTTGACTCTGCTGGCAAAAGAGGGGAAGAGAACCTGTGGCTCAGTGACTAAATCACTGCCTAGTATGTATAACTTTCCAGGTTCGAATCCCATAAAGGGTATGGCTAACTGATGAAGGCAAAAAAAGCCAGAAATGGTCCATATATATATATATGAATGCTTTTGTTTGAACACCCTGTCGGCCCAAATATGGGAAGGAGAAATCTTTTTTTTTTTCCCCCAAAATCCAAATTTTGAAATATATATATATATATATATATATATATGTAAAAACCCCACAAAATAAGGCAACTGTACTATAGTTAAGAGGCAACTTCCTTCCACTGAAGCGAAGAGAATAATGGTATATTAAATCCAACTGATGTGTGACACTCACATCACAAATGTGTACGTGCTCCGGCTAAAATCCTGAGAGGTTGGAAAGTTGCAAACAGGGTAGGAGTTGACTGAGGAAGATGTAAACTGGGTTTAAGGATTATCGATTGCATGAAATGGGCTGGAGAATAGGATGGGTTCGGTTAAGGAACCTTTGGGGGAGAGAGTTTACCCAGAGACACAAAATGGAGACAACTAGCGCTAGTTACGGAGTAGTACAATTGTGCCGGTAACAAGCCGGGTTTCTAGTTCAGTTGACAGTTGATCTGCTCTGTGGTTTGGTTTGCGTGTTTGATGTTATCTGAATTTTAAGGCACCTTAAGCAAGAGAAGGGAAGCGGCTTGCTTAACAAGGAGAGGCCCCATTTTTAGCTGCAAGGAACAGACCCTGGGGAACTATGGGAAATAAAATAAAATAAAATGGGTGGGTTGATTGCTCTTTTTATTGTCAACTGCTTTCATTGCAGTTGCAATGAAAGTGGGATCTCAGCTAGACCGGATCCCTAGCAGAGGTGTTATTATTTGCTCATTAGAAGCAGGACTGAGCTATTGAGATGTAAGAAGATCTGGCTTTTTCTCGGCAAGTACGTGAAAAATCATGTGACACAGGAAATAACGTTGGATCTTCAGATCTGACTCACAAATTTATTGGGTGATGTTGATCTGGTCACTATTTCATTATCAAAAAGGCTGACCAAGAAGCATCTCTATGGTCCTGTTGTCAATCACCGAAGCCTGCCGTTCAGTTTTTTTTTTAATAGAGGCTAATATCATTTTGGTTGGCAATGGGATCCTAATTCGTCAGATTTATACTCTGCTTTTTCTCAAAGGAACTCAAAAGAGCAGGGGAGTTATAGTTCTTCAGGAAAACAACAACACTGCAAGGCGGGTTGAATTGAGAAAGCGCCAAGTCTGCTTCCATTGCCAGTTGTGTTTTGAGTCTAACCTCCCCTGAGCCTTAATTCCTAGATCTGACACACTCTCTAGGTGTCAGATTGTCAGTTGTTAATTGGTTTGGATTGACGTGCCTCCATTTTAAGTACTGAGCATTTGCGTTAAATCAAGGAAATCAGATCTCTTCACCTATTATCTAGTTAAATATAATGTATACCATTGTGGGCTCCTTCAAGGAGGAAGGCTACATATCAAAAAAAAAAAACAACCTTGTTCTAATTTGTGCACACGTGTGCAATTGGACTTGTGCAAAAATTAAAACGGGATGGAACGGGGAAACGAGGATTTGCGACCAAAAGGCCAACCCTATTCTCTTTCCATTGTAGGAAACGCCGTTGACTCAGTGAGTTGTGGAGCTGTGGGCCAAAGACAGCAGGACGCTTTGATTTTTTGGGGGGGGGGGAGAGAAATGCCACGCGTCAACTTCGCAAGGTGATTTTTTTTTTTTTGAGGTTATTTTCAGTTTCCTGAGAAGCGTTCCTATGAGTGGCGTCTTCAGACACTCCACTTGAGATAGAGGACATGTTGGATTCGGTCAAGTGTGTCCTGGTAGGCGATGCCGCCGTGGGGAAGACGGCCCTGCTGCTGCGCTTTATTTCGGAGACCTTTCCGGATGCTTATCGGCCTACCGTTTACGAAAACACCGGCGTGGATGTCTTCCTGGATGGCAGCCAGATCAGCTTAGGCCTTTGGGATACCGCGGGCAGCGATTCCTTCAAGAGCATCCGCCCTCTTTCCTATCAACAGGCCGACGTGGTGTTGATGTGCTACTCGGTAGCCAATCACGGCTCGTTCCACAGCTTGAGGAACAAGTGGGTGACGGAGATCAGGACCCACTTGCCCCGCATCCCGATTTTGGTGGTGGCTACCCAGATCGACCAAAGGGACACAGGTCCTCACAGCGCCACCTGCATCAGTCCGGTGCACGGCAAGCAACTGGCGAAGGACCTCCGGGCGAAGGGGTACGTGGAGTGCTCCTCCCTGGCCAATCGGGGAATCCAAAAGGTATTCGAGTGTGCCGTGCGGACGGCCGTGAACCAAGCCAAAAAAAGGTCGAGAAGGAACATTTTCTCGGTGAACGAATGCAAAATTTTCTGAAACCGGACCGACCTCGGCAATCGTTTTCTGCCTTTCGCCTCACCGAATGATTGCGTAGCGGAGTAAATACGAGCCTTCCGTTGGGCACTAAGATGGGCCATTCAATCTTGGCATCTGGAACTCTCAAAGCGAATACAAGCAAGGCTGCGGGTTGGATTTCCAGCGGCAAACATGGGAGAGTATGAGTAGCAAGCCGGAGCCTTGTTTATCTATCATTTATCGTGATGGGAATGTTAAAAGAGTTTATTTGCTACTACAGGTTCTGTTGGATTCGTAAAAGGGGCTGTTTTCTACGCCTGAGATAATGGATGGATAATTTATATGGCAGACTTAATAGAAGCTTGGGGACTGAATAGGTCAGGAAGATGTGAAATAAACCAAGCCAATTAAATGTCTTTTTCCTCAAATGTATTGTGGAGAGTGGTGTCTGCTAACAATTTTGAACATTCTGGTACTGAGAACAATCTTTTCCACCTTTCACGTGTCAAGGGATCAGATTTCCTGGTGGGGGAAACAATAGATCCTACCAGATCATTTTAACTTGGTTTAATTTATACTTTATCTCATTCTGGAAGAATGCTACATTGTCCCGATAGTAGTACTTTCAAGCTGCCAGTGTGAAAATAAGATATATATTCTATCCTCTGGTTTAAGACAAGAGATTTCCTTCTGAATGGCTCTGATGCTCCTAGTAGGATGTGGATGGAGATACACAGACTGTTACTACCGTTAATAATAGTAGTAGTAGTAGTAGTAGTAGTAGTAGTAGTAGTAGTAGTAATAATAATAATAATAATAATAATAATAATAATAATAATAATAATAAGTTGGAAGGGACCTTGGAGATCATCTAGTCCAACCCCCTGCTCAGGCAGGAAACCCTATACCATTTCAGACAAATGGCTGTCCAGTCTCTTCTTAAAAACTTCCAGTGTTGGAGCATTCACCGCTTCTGGAGGCAGGTTGTTCCACTGGTTAATTGTCCTCACTGTCAGGAAGTTTCTCCTTAGTTCTAGGTTGCTTCTCTCCTTGATGAGTTTCCATCCGTTGCTTCTTGTCCTGCCTTCAGGTGCTTTGGAGAACAGCTTGACTGCCTCTTCTTTGGGGCAGCCCCTGAGATATTGGAAGGCTGCTATCATGTCCCCCCTTGTCCTTCTCTTCATTAAACTAGACATTCCCAATTCCAGCAATCGTTCTTTGTATGTTTTAGCCTCCAGTCCCCTGATCATCTTTGTTGCTCTTCTCTGCACTCTTTCCAGAGTCTCAACATCTTTTTTTACATCGTGGTGACCAAAACTGGATGCCGTATTCCAAGTGTGGCCTTACCAAGGCATTGTAGAGTGGTATTAATACTTCGTGTGATCTTGATTCTATCCCTCTGTTAATGCAGCCTAGCACTGTGTTAGCTAGGCTGCATTAACAGAGGGCTAGAATCAAGATCACAAATCAACAGAATTAATTTTAATCACAAATCAACAGAATTAATAATGATGCTTGATGCTCTCTGAGCTTGGAGAGTTCCTTACAGAAGTTTCTTTATTAAACTAAGGTAACTTCATTGTCCCAAAGGTGTTTTTTTGAAGATGCAACTGGATTTTCTTGTGTGTGTGGTTTTTTTTGAAGATGTTTCGCTTCTCATCCAAGAAGCTTCTTCAGCTCTGACTGGACTCCTCTTTCAAGCCAGCGGTCCTCTCTGTCCAACATGTGGCCTTTGTCTTTTAAATGCAGATGGACTGCTGAATCTTGTCCTGGGGGCTTTGTTCTCCTCTATTCCTTCCAAGGAATATAAATCCTTCCATTTCCCACAATCCAGCCAGAGCTGAAGCAGCTTCTTGGGTGCTTTTCTTTTCTTTGAAAAAAACAAAAACAAAAAACAAGAAAGTCCAGTTGCCTCTTGAAAAAACACCTTTGGGAGAAGCTCCATAGACATTTAGGGAACGTCATCAGTGAAATATTGTCTTCTATCAGAATTAATAATTATTAATAATTGTTTGAACTGCGTGCAAAGCTCTGCTTCTTGGTGAAAGGTGGTGGACAAGGATGGAAGCTAAGCATACTTACCATTTCACAATTAAAACTGTAGGGTCCCTGAGGCTCTCTGAGCTTGGTGGTTTTCATAATAATAATAATAATAAAAGTTGGAAGGGACCTTGGAGGTCATCTAATCCAACCCCCTGCTCAGGCAGGAAACCCTATAGTATACCATTTTGGACAAATGGCTGTCCAGTCTCTTCTTAAAAACTTCCAGTGTTGGACCCTTCACAGCTTCTGGAGGCAGGTTGTTCCACTGATTAATTGTTCTAACTGTCAGGAGGTTTCTCCTTAGTTCTAGGTTGTTTCTCTTCTTGATTAGTTTCCATCCGGTTGCTTCTTGTCCTGCCTTCAGGCGCTTTGGAGAAGAGCTTGACTCCTTCTTCTTTGGGGCAGCCCCTGAGATACTGGGACACTGCTATCATGTCACCTCTGGTCCTTCTCTTCATTAAACTAGACATACCCAATTCCAGCAACTGTTCCTTATATAATAATAATAATAATAATAATAATAATAATAATAATAATAATAATAATAATAATAATAATAATAATAATAATAATAATAATAATGATGATGATGATGATGATGATGATGTTGGAAGGGACCTTGGAGGTTATCTAGTTCAACCTCCTGCTCAGGCAGGAAACCTTATACCATTTCAGACAAATGGCTGTCCAGTCTCTTCTTTAAAACTTTCAGTGTTGGCGCATTCACAGCTTCTGGAGGCAGGTTGTTCCACTGGTTAATTGTTCTGACTGTCAGGAAGTTTCTCCTTAGTTCTAGGTTGCTTCTCTCCTTGATCAGTTTCCACCCGTTGCTTCTTGTCCTGCCTTCAGGGGCTTTGGAGAAGAGCTTGACTCCCTCTTCTTTGGGGCAGCCCCTGAGATATTGAAGCACTGCTATCCTGTCCCCCCATGTCTTTCTCTTCGTTAAACTAGACATACCCAATTCCAGCAGCCATTCCTTATATGTTTTAGCCTCCAGTCCTTTGATAATTTGGTATGAGGACCTTAATGAACAGGAGGTATTTTCTTATCATGAAAGGAAATGTCTGCAGGTCAAGCTGTTCTTCAAGGCCTAGGAGGGACCTTTTTGTCTCTGAAGCCCTATTATATCCTCTGCAAGGTTGGAGCTGTTCTGTGATCCTGCAGACTCTCTTATCTTTGATAAGTTTTTTTTTACCTATCTGAATTAGCATCCCGCATGACAAAGGTACAAAGCAGGAAACTGTTTGAGTTGTTCAAGTCCCTGAGAACTCTCTCAAAAATTTATTTTGAACTATCTTTTTGTGGTTTCAGTTCAACTACTGGCAATTATCTTGACAAGCTGATTTGTTTTTTGTTTTTAATTTTAAAGAGCTGGTTAACTGGCTGTTCTCAAGGGACAGGGGTTGGGTAGGCTGAATGGAAACTGCTTCCCACTTTAAACTGTTCTGTCAAGTCTGTGCTTAAAATTAGGAACCCTTGATGTAGATGCTAACAAAAACCTATGTCATTTCCTATAAAAAAAAAGTAGAAGTTTAAGCTGTCTAAAATAGCACATGCATTTTAATTGGTCAAGGAGTACACAGGTTGGGCGTTAGTCCTTTTTTCCCCAGAACTACTGATTATTTCTAAATAAACACTAAAATAGTGTGTTCTCTGTTTTAACACACATATGTTCCTAAACTATAGCTCTGCTGAAACTGGTTAACTTCTTGTAGTAAAATGTTATGTGCAACATAATCAAGATCACGTGAAGTGTTAATACCACTTTACAATGCCTTGGTAAGGCCACATTTGGAATCCTGCATCCAGTTTTGGTCACCACGATGTAAAAAAAGATGCTGAGACTCTAGAAAGAGTGCAGAGAAGAGCAACAAAGATGATTAAGGGTCTGGAGGCTAAAACATATAAGGAACGGTTGCTGGAATTGGGTATGTCTAGTTTAATTATGAGAAGGACGAGGGGGGACATGATAGCAGTCTTCCAATATCTCAGGGGCTGCCCCAAAGAAGAGGGAGTCAAGCTATTCTCCAAGGCCCCTGAGGGCAGGACAAGAAGCAACGGATGGAAACTAATCAAGGAGAGAAGCAACCTAGAACTAAGGAGAAATTTCCTGGCAGTGAGAACAATTAACCAGTGGAACAACCTGCCTCCAGAAGCTGTGGATGCTCCAACACTGGAAGTTTTTAAGAAGAGACTGGACAGCCATTTGTCTGAAATGGTATAGGGTTTCCTGCCTGAGCAGGGGGTTGGACTAGATGACCTCCAAGGTCCCTTCCAACTTTACTATTATTATTATTATTATTATTATTATTATTATTATTATTATTATTATTATTATTATTATTATTATTATTACATCTATTTTTCATTTGTTAAGAAAGGGTTCTTTAAGGATTGTCACAAATAGAGGGGAAAGAGCCACTTATCTGCAGAAAACTGTACCATTTATTTAGGACATCTTCTTACTTACTCACGACTGCAATCAAAGTTATAACGAAGGGGAGATGAATGTGGCTGGGATGCAATTCTTTTTTAAAAATAAGGAGTCCATGAAGTAATTAACCATGTACTGTGGTTTTTATGTTTGAAAACCTGACAGCCGTCATTTACTCATTGGCAGGTTTGATTTGTCAGTTGGGAGGCAGTTCCAGAGCCAATTGCTTGCAACATATGCAAGGAAATTAAAAAAATAAAAACACAAGAGAATGAGCCAGGAGGACTCTTAACTCACTGAACAGCAAATATCAAAAGTACCAGGCCAGTCTTTAAGGAGGGAAATGGGCTACTCTACCTCTCCACATTATTCCAGTCTTCACTTCTTACTGGAATATATTGGTGAAGTATCTAGAACAGGCCTTTTCAACCTTTTCACCCATTGTGCCACTTTTAGGATATGGCGACATCCGAAGACCACCAGTCGCCTAGCAAGGGGTCAAAAACTTGATGACCCAAAAAAAAAAAAAAGGAAAAAAGTGATAAAGTACAGGTAGTCCTCGACTTACAACAGTTCGCGTAGTGACTGTTCGAAGTTACAATCGCACTGAAAAAAGTGCCCCCCAAGCCACAGCCGAGCAAGACGCCTGCCTGCCCATCCGGTGGCGCTCTTCCTCCTGTCTGAGGTTTCCATTGTTGTGAGCATTTCTGTTGAGGATTGGCAGCGATGGTGGGGTGGGGGGGGTGTTTGGTTTTTATTCCCCCCCGTCTGCTGGGTGGTTGCAGCAGGTTTTGGTCACTTCACATGACCCTGGGACACTGTGACCGTCATAAATATGAATCAGTGGCCAAGCATCTGAATGTAAATCACAAGACCCTGGAGAGGCTGCAACATGCCAGCTGATTGGTGCTTCTTCTGGGCT